GTTGACTTTTGTTTTATAGCTGCCTCTGAACACGTAGCGTACTTATTAGTTTTAACCATATACATATTTATATTGTACATATCTATATGCACATATTTATGTAGGTGTGTGTGTTTGGAAGCTCTACGTGTTAATGTTTGTTTTCTCCAATTTGAGACGTGGGACTTGGCTTCCTTTTTATACCTTTTTATATATTCTTGATCAGCATCAACTGCCGAGTCTCTGTCTGTCCGTCTGTCCGTCTTGTTGAGCGCCTAGATATCAGAGGCTATAAGAGCTAGAGCAACCAAATTTTGTTTCCAGACTCATGTCACTCACATCGGCCCCTTCCGCCCCCACAAAGGACGAAAATTAATTTTCAGTTGCTTCCCCACCTCCTCCAGCGCTGCTGACGCTATTTATTCTCTTTCCCAGTGGGGTAGAGGGTATTCATTCTCTCACTGATTCCCAATTCGAAAGCGGAATTTTACTTTTTGTTCGCTTTGCTTAATGTCTGTTCAAGGTCGCAGCTTTTATGGTTCCCATAGTTGCTTCGTATCAGCAAATGATAAGGCAGCATATCAACGTCCAAAAGCACCCCCCAAGGAAGATCCCACAGAGAGGGGCCAAAGTGTATCGCCTCGCAGATGCTGCAAATGTGCCTCAAGTGTGATAGTACCTGTCATCCAAATGTCTACATAAGTTAACACAAGTTTATTTTCGCACTCTCGCTATCTATGTTTGAAGCGTTTTCTTATGTTTACTATATACCTTAAATCTTAGTTAAAGCCTCCTTAGGCTGTCATAGACCATAGGACCATTTCTGGACATCTGGTTCCATTTCTCAGTCTCCTTTTTCTTATTGCCAAGCGTCTCTTTTCTGATCCCCAGAAGTCAATGCGTCCCCCCATTCTCTCTGACTCTCGCTGACTCTCTTTATCTGGTTTTTCCTATTCCTACGATCTTTTCTGTGATGATCGCTGTGATAAGACTCAAAGCTTTCTCTCATTCTCCCTTCTCTACGCAGATCAACTTAAACCCCCGTTAGGTATTGAGCTTTGCTCTAGCTTTGCCCAGCTAATTATACGCTCTGTTTGGACATATTGTTGATCACACTTTGAGTCATCCGCAAAACAACAAGCAAAGTACTGCCCCCGGGGCCACTCCGCACCACTCCACACTCCGCTCAAGAGGTCCATTCATGTCCGATGTCCGTTAATTGCTCTGTTCGCACACCACACAAACAATCCGCAGACAATCGAGCCACTGTTGCTGCTGGCACATACTCGATCATACAAATAATTCGGTTTTTGTTTGGTTTTGTTTTGTTTGATTTTCAATTATAGCGTTAAAGTTTAACAGAGCGCCCGCGTCTGAGCACCAACGAACAGTGGGACGGGACCCCCAACAGAGGAAGCTCTGTTATCCGTCCAGCTGCTGGCTGGCTGCTTGCCTACCTTTTATTTTTACAGTTCGCGGCTCGGCACGCCTCGAGTTCATTTCGCTACGAGACGTTGACGGTTGTGGGAGTGAGTGAGTGAGCAGCGGCGGCTGAATGGAAACTCCAATAAAAAAAAATATAAATAATTAATACACGAGAGAAACACTCATAATATGGGAATTACGAATGCCAGTGTTAATTAATTTGTAATCTAGTGTGTGCTTTAAACCGTCGTACATATTGCATACCTTATAAACCGGTTCACAGTGTCACAGTATCGTCGAATGTTCGCATATTTACACCCACTCCAGTGGGTATTTCCCCTCCGAAGTTGAAGTTTTGCTGTGTATTTCTTCTGTATTTGAGGGAGAAGTGTGTGGAGAGATAGCCGATCGGCAGTCACTATACCTGAATATCATATGTACATATATACACATTATGACATTATGGTTATGAGGATTTCTTGAGAAACCCCCATTGGCCCAGGTACAACAACTTTTATGCGGTTACCCACCTTGAGAGCGGACAGGCGGCCACAGACTCTTCCCGTCGTCCAACAATTTGCATAAGAAAAAAAAAACCTGCTACAAAAAACACATCCGATCCGAGTGATCCGAACGAAACATCCACATCCCCATTCCCCCAAGACCCAAAACCAAGTTTCGTTATTGGTTTTTCGCTGATAATACAAGTATATTTTTGCCGGTACTTGTCAATCCACTTTTCGCACACGCAAACCAACCAACAAAACGCAAAAAAACACAAAAAATACAAAAACACTCTTCAATCAAAGAGGGTCATTTATTTGTTCAGTTATTGCTATATCTACAATATATGTAATACCTCGAAAAAAGTCTACATTGATCTACGACAAGGAACCAACACTTTGGTGTTGAATACATTAACATTATTTTCCGCTTGAGAGAGCTTGAGATCTCGGGGTAAGTTAAGTGTATATATCTGAACGATAAGAACCTGTATCATCTGTTAGATCATTAATCATTAAACTGCAGCGTTGCCTTTCCCAGAAATGAACCTCCAAGTATTTCCCCAATTCCATTTAATAGTTTTTTTCTATTTACGAAAAATATATCCGCCACTCGTGAGGAATTTTTTATGCTCCCAAAAGATCTGGCATAATTTATGGGTTGGTGTCCTGAATGAAATGGCATTTATATTTATCATTTAATGGGAGCTCATTTATATTTATATCTGAATGGATTAAGTGGTGGATCGGTTAAATGTGAGTTGATCTGTTGGTGGGATTTATGCTAATTTGATGTAAGATTATTCCGCTGCAAGTGACTCACCCGATTAGCTCGTCGAATGGATGATAATCGTAAGTGTCGTTGCATTCGATACCCCCATAAAATTATAGGCAATTTACTGGCCAGGAGCGAAAACCGTTTTTTCAGATAAGAAAATCAAAGCGCGCCTGCAAAAACCTGCCCAATTGCATGACAAATAAAGTTCAAAACAAAACAACTGTTTGCCAATCGATGCACACACACTCTGATTGAGTCACTAAGGAAATCGAGTCGTAGAATGCCCTTTGTGGAACATCTCACCTTGACTATCCCCCCCCATCAGCATATCATGCCAGGCCATACACAATACGATCCCATCGTCTGTGAATCGACATGGAATGGGAATTTAAATTTTGTTTATACTTTTGCGCACATTTGGCGCTTGGGGGGATTGTGCATAGATATCGCTGTTGAAACATCTTTGGGATATTGTTTATTGTTTGCTTAGAGGTCTGTTTATTTCGCTACAATTTTCCAACAGTTTTTCCTCTGTTTCTATATATAATAGATCTCTCCAGTGCCCACCACCCACCCCGCAATATGATATATATATAATCATATAATATACAAATGTTTAAACTAAAACTGCGATTAAAGTTGCACTATCACGCACATGTGGGAGTTGTTCCAAGGGTGCCTGTTTGTATGTGTGTGTGTGTGTGTGTGTGTGTGTGCTCTCGGAGGGGGTGCTGCCTGCCCCTACCCACCCGCTGTGTGCATTTTCACGATAAGCCAAATGCAATTACCAATTAATTAGTTAAATGCTTTTTGTGGTGCGTTTTTACAGCTGTATTCCCCGTATTCCCTGCTATATCTGGAGCCAGTTTTCTCGACTCGAATCCCAGGTCTGGCCATTACTCACTCCAGCAAGCATATTACTCTCCTGGGGTTCCGTTCGGGCTACGGTGGCTACGGTGGCTACGGTGGCTACGGTGTCTGATAGGCAGGCAGGGTTCCATTGAATCTCATGTTTCAAACACACTTAACACTCATCTATCGCATGTGTTTCTTTCGAATGAGTGTTCCGTGGAGATCGACATAAGTCGATGTTCAGGGGCCAAGAATGATGATTAATCGGGTTGATGGATGTTTGAAATCAAACAACAAATAAGAATAACATTCAGGTAAAGATAAAGCGGAGATCTCCTGAAGTTTTCCCCTTAAATTTATGTGCACTTTAGCTATTTCTACCAGGAAAAACTATCTGGGATTGTGAAAGAACAACTATTTATAGAAATAACACAGTCCTTCGCTTTAAATTGATACAAAATGTATGTAAATTAAAAAATAGCACAAATATATAAAATTGATTAGAGTTAGACAGCAAATAGGAATACAAACCATTCACAGATCTCTAATAGGTTTGATTTATGGATTCGATGATCGTTTCGTGCGTGAATATCAGGCAGGGTATCCCCCCATTCATTGAATGGATTCCTAAATGGATTCGAAAGCTTTCTCCCGCCCAGCCACATCAATGCTAATGAGCGAGTGAACATTTATCTTTTGTGGCAAGTTCAGGGCGGTATCTGTTGACTGGTCGACTGGTTGAGTGGTGGAAGTGTGTGGCAAGTATCATGAAATAATATTTGGCAAACTTGCCACCCACCCACTCGCCCATGGCAATCAATTTGTGGCTGGCTGTGGGCTCCGCTCCCCGGCCTTTGTTTACAGACAGGAGTCTAAAAATACTCTTGGGGTTGGAATTTTCACACGAAAACGAGGCAGAAGAATCCGCACACCCAGCCGTCAATGGGTCAGCAAGTGTTCTGAAAAGTGTTTGTTTGAAATAGGGAAATATGTACATATATGGAATATGTACCATGCATGTACATATGTATGTTCGTAGCTCCTTGTAATCGGTGGTTATCATCAAATTGTACCCACAGCTTTTACCCACAGTTTTTTTTTCCCCACAGTTCACCTTCAAGTGTGGTGGCAATTACTTCGGCTTCAGCGAATTCTCCTGTCTTCATCGGCGACTTCTGTGGGCTCCGATTAGTCAAACTTTTGATACGAACCGCAACTGCCGCCGACGGGCCGGACCCTTAACAAGATAATAATGGGAATACGCCACACATAAGACTTGAGCAAAAAAAAAAAAACCAAAACAAAAAGCATTGCCGCTGAGGCAGACGTGATAATAAAACCCCCCCTCAACAAAAATATTCATTTTGAATAAAAACTTATATCAAACGAAATAATATTTATGTGAGTTTTTGGATTCATTTCGTGTCGTAATCGTTGTTTAATTTTTTTGTTGGGCGTTCCACAACCAGGAAGAGGCTACTGGCCTTTTGGTTTGTGTGTGCGTGTTTTTTTTGTGTTCATATTTTGGATATTAATATGTTGACAGTGCCGTCGTCGCTGCTGCTGCTGCTGCTGTTTGTTGCTGAGAGAATTGTAATAATTTGAGCATACGCCTCTTCCGGTGATCCATGTGACACATGTGTGTACGATAAATCTTCCAACTTTCAATGGGTTTTGGGCGTTAAGTGAAATGGGCTTTTAATGGCATTTGGCAGGGCTTAAGAGTAGTTCTATCAAACAGTTGGTTTGCCAACGGAAAGTTTACGGCTGCTGAAAGTGTGAATCAGAGGCGACACTTCGAAATACTCTTACTCACATCCTGTTGTTTCTGTCGTTGTTTTTGCTCTCCCTGGCTACTGGCCATGGACAATCCCCAAATTGTGAAAATCAACCAGATAATAATCCAAACGAAAGACACCACAACTAACCTGAGGACGTCCCTGGCGGAGTATCTGTAAGTATTTTCACCCAAGCCAAAGCAGCAGCCATCAAAATGGTTAATTTATTTTATTTTTTTATACGTATATACGTATAATATAAATAAGAGCCGTCGATCGTATTCTTTTGTCAGACATTATTAGCAGGCGAGTGGCGTTGGCCAAGTGGCTTTATCTTATCGGCTACGGACCACAAATAAGACATTTTTATGCGCCGCCTCGAGCACAACAAATTCACACACAGCACTCCAGCTACTCAGCTACTCAGCGACTCCACAGCTCCACTCACACGCAAGGGGAATTCATTTTATTCGTACTTGTATTCAGAGAACACTCGTCGATGCCTCAATCGAGTGTCACCGCGAACATTCGAGTTATTTATAGGCCATTAACCGATATTATCTATGGAATATCAATCAGAGCTCTGATTGGCTTATCTTCCGTAAAGTTAATGAAAGTTAACGATCCGCATGATCCGTCGACTTAGTCACAAAGTTCTTAAGAAGTTGAGCAATTATTCTAGAATCTAGATCCATCGGCATTCAATTCATTTATGAAAGCCTTTAAAATTGACCCATTATCCATTCTCATCTCTGGAATACAGTTACATTTGAGCTGATCTTTTGGATGGATTGATAATACGATAAAATAATGATAACATCTTCTTTTTTATAGCCCGTTATCCCATACCCATATAGAGTAGAAGGGAAGTTCCCTTTGAACATGTAATCTTGTACTTTATCTTAATGAGAATATTTATTATCCATTTTAACCGCACCCCTAGATACTATTTAGGTACATATATCCTATATATATATTCTCGTTACATATGTATATAATAATTATTTATAGAAAGATGTTCGAATCTATGCCACCCCCTGTTCCCATTTGGCATTCCCAGAAGCACATCCATTACGATTGCGATAACTACCATGCCATGATTCAGCGAATCAATCTATCAATCAATAATGCAACGTAATCCCCGATCAGAATATTAAATAGTTCCGTTCCGCACATCATCCGATACGATACTACGATTACGATACGACGATTACAACTTTACTTGAACTGCAAATCGCAGGGGAATTGAAATCAAAATCGAAATTGTAGCATCCATAAAATTGTTTGCAACAATGAAAAAATATACAAAAATTCGAAAAAAAAAGTTCTAGAAGAATTATTGCTTTTATAAAATTGTTGTGGGCATTTGGTAGAATCTGGAGGAGAATTGCTGGACCATAATTCAATTTAATGGCCAATTGTTTTCAATGTTTCGTGAATGCTCCACATGGTTTAATTCTATTTCAAATAAATTCTCCTCTCTCTCCCTATTTTTTGGAATAAATATTCGAATTCGATTCTGTTGAAATCTCTCAACTCAAGTGGAAAGTACTTAGCGATTAATCGTAATTATGCTAATTTTCCATCAGGAGAGAGATAAGTGCTGTGTGGGTGTGCGTGTTAGGATCATTCCCTCCTCCTCCTCCTTTGGCACAGAGAGTTTAATGTGTTTGCTCGGGCTCCATCGTCCAGCCATAAATTCATGCTAATTTTGTGGGCCCACGCGCCCATCAATGCCACACACCACACACAGGTTACCCTCCCCCCATCGATGGCAAACAATCAGCGGATCAATGAATTAGGGTCCCCGCCGCCACTCCAGCACTCCAGCGCTCCAGCACTCCAGCACTCTACTAATGATGCAACCGATAAGATAGGGAATACATTTTACTCTAGAGTCTAGAGGGTATAACTTTTCGCATTTGTAATGAAATTATGGCAGGCTCATTAGCAGCGCTTTGCAAAATGGCAAGCAGGAAAAACAAATGCTGAGAGAGAGAGAGAGATAGGGAGAGGGAGTGAGGGTGTGAGTAGGACTATTGACAGACGACGAGGAGGGCAGTTAGTATCAATTTAACACGAATCCATAAATGTTTGCCGCATGACCTTATGATTGATGCCCCACAGAGAGCGAGCGCACACAGTGTGACAGTGGGGCAGAGGGCTTAGTCCCCCTGGACTCGTTTGGGTGCTAATTGAATGTGCCGTCGTCCTTGCTGCTCCTGTTTTGCCACCCACATCTCCTTCCTGTTCCTGTTGCTGTTCCTGTGTAATGCTGCTGCTGTTGTCCTCTTTCCATGCTGTAACCTGTTGTCCTTGTGGCTGATGATTCACTAATTGGTTGGTATGATGAGTCCCCTAACCAAAATTAGTGTCCTCATTTAGCGTAGCATTAACTAAGCGAAAAGGTAAATATTCCCGGCTTTGGGGTATTTACTTTGAGTGTCCTTCATTTAAGGGATATATGCCATAATCCCATGAGGGTTTCCACCGTGAAATAGAGCTGTAGGTTGTGTCAGAGTTTCATTAAGAATCGTAGCTCTAAGAGAGATCCATCCAGAAATCTAATACAACTCCTTTCGTTTCCTCTCCCTCCGCTCCTTTGCAGAACCTACATAATGCCAAAGCAAGTGCGTCAAAGGGGTGGATCCCTCTACTGTGGTCTGACTCTCATGGGAGTCCTGTGCCTCGTTGTCTTCCGTTTGCTGCCCGGAATGTCCTTTGGGGTATATGCCATGTCCGATGAGCGGAACAACTACCACATTCGCGATGGCCTGCATGTGCCATGCACCTTCTTCGACACCGTCAACCTCACGGGCTACACGCCCTTCCCGAACGGCAGCTACTCGTACGAGGGCGTGCTGATACCCAGCCACCTGGTGGGCCAGTACAACTACATCTACAAGGACCTGGTGGAGCGTGTGGATGTGGACTGGCATCCGCGCGGCTGCATCTGCAGGCTAAAGGCCTGCCTGAACATCTGCTGTCCGTGGGGTCAGGTGTACAACAGCGAGAAGGCGGAGTGCAACAATGACACGACGGACACGAGGATCTGGCCACAGCCCGTGATGAATGTGACCTTTGACAACAGCAGCACACAGTCGGTGAACATCTTTAAGCAGTTTGCGGTGCAGAGCTTCCGGCCCTGCCCCAAGATGTTCTCCCTGCAGCCGGAGATCAACGATTTCGATGAGTATCTGCTGTTCCAGAATGGCTCAATGCTGCGCATTGACGATCACAATTACATCAACAAGAGCGAGTTCTGTCTGGTGGTGTCCTATGTGAACGAAACGGATCTGTACTACAGTCTGAATCCCGCCAACTGTGACACGGACACGGAGCACACCACAGTGAAGATTATCAATGCGTATGGTAAGGGTTTGTGATTCGATACCTATTCCCTTTGCAGTTATCCACTAATCAAAGACTCTCTCTCTCTCTGTCCTATAGCTATGCTGTTCTCCATTCCCTTTATGATGCTCACCATTGCCGTTTATCTGCTGATACCCGAGCTAAGGAACCAGCATGGAAAGAGTCTCGTGTGCTACCTCATGGGTCTCTCCAGCGGCTATACGGCCCTCTGTTGCATTCTGCTCCTGAAGAACCTCGATCCGGATGAGTTCTCCTGCAAAGTGTTTGGGTACACAGCCTACTTCTGCTTCATGTCGGCCTTCTTCTGGCTGAATGTCATCAGCTTTGACTTGTGGCACAATTTCCGCGGCACACGGGGCATCAATCGGTTCCAGGAGAAGAAGCGATTCCTCTTTTACTCGCTGTACTCCTGGGGAGCGGCATCGATGTTCCTGGCCTTCACGTGGATCGCACAGGAGCAGACCGACTGGCCGGCGGCCCTCAAGCCGGGCATTGGCGGTGGCGAATATTGCTGGCTGGACATGCGCAATTGGTCCGCAATGATATACTTCTTTGGGCCCATACTGGCCATCATTGTGGCCAACACGGTGATGTTTGTGATGACCTCGGTGAAGATCCATGGCGTGCAGCGGGAGATGGCGAGGATAATTGCCCGCGAGGATAGCACCAAGAATCTGCGCACCGAAAAGGACAAGTAAGTAAGGACGTGGATGCCTGCCACGCACCTGCACCTGCACCTGCACCTGCACCTCCCCCATTCAACCTTCCACCAGTCAACTAAAGTGCACGTCGTGTCCTGCTTCGCCTTAGGTTCGGACTCTTTCTGCGTCTCTTTCTCATCATGGGCGTCACCTGGTCCTCGGAGATCATCTCGTATTTTGTGGGCAACGACAAGAAGTGGTCGAAGATCTTCTACATCTCGGATCTGTGCAATGCCATGCAGGGCTTCCTCATCTTCATGCTGTTTGTGATGAAGAAGAAGGTCAAGCATTTGATAACCAACAGGTGAGTGTCCGTCTCCCCCCCTGTCCCTGTGCCCTGTGCTGTCCAATCTCTGTCCTGTTTTTGTCATACTTTTTGTTTCCACTTAGGAAATCGTCCTTTGACCAAAGCCTAAAGCCCCTCTGTAATCTCACCCGTGTGCCCCGTTCTGTATGTCTTGTGTGTACCTCCGCTCCATTCGTTTTTTACCTCTCATTATCGAACCACCCCCTCCTATAACCAACCCGCAGAACGATACGCGTGCGCAGTCTGCATCAAACAGAGAGCACAACGATGGCCGGCAGCAATTTCTCGGTGCGGCAGCGATTCATGGACGCCTCCAGCCACATACGCAGGCTGGTCGTGATCCGCAATGCCTTCGCCAGTGCCACCTCCACCGCCAGTGGTGTGCACTCCCATGCGGTATAGTGTGGGCCATCGCCCCCTCGTCGACAGTAAGCACAGCAAGCAGCCATCTCAACTCACCTCGTCTTGTGTCGTGTCCCTCCATGTCTCTGCTGCTCGAATGTTGTGCACTAACCCCCTCCCCCCTGCATGCACCTCGTAGATAGAAAGTTATCCAGGGATGGATATGTCGTGTAGTTAGTTTGCAGAAGAATCAAAATCTAAAATAAAAAAATTATGCCATCATCTCTATCTCTCTTGTCCAGACCGCTTTCGATATTGCTTAGCCACAAGATCAGCAGCTACAAGAACAGAAACAAAAACAGCTACAGCCTCAAACAGCAGACTAACTCAAGTCCCAACAACACCCAAGAACCACCCAAAAACCAAAAACACGAATCCAAATCCAAGCTCAATGCCAATGCTACTTTTACTGCCACTTGAGGCAGCAATGCGGCAATGCCACAAACGAACAAAACATCCAACTAAAAAAGACTCGCTAAATGTAGCTCTAATAACCAATAAACGAAAGTAACCTTTGTTTGCATCTACAATGTGTGTCCATCTATGTAAATCCGTCCTCCAATCACCACTCCACCACATCGATCTGAACCCACCGAAGACTGTTGAAGCCCTCGCCATCGAATGTCTCGAACTCCACCAATTCAACGTCAATCAACTCGGATTCAAATGGGCTGCCAGGAAAGCTGAGAATGAAGGCGGCCAATGCCAATGCGAGTCCAAGTCCTGGACCAAAGGTTGGCCCCTAGAAACCCCCATGCATAAACATAAAAAAATAATTAAAAAAAAAAAACATATTCCAAGGTAAAGCCGTAGAGCCTTAGAGAGGATTGGGAAATGACTAACACCAAAGACAACAACTAATGCAACTCTCTTTCCCCTCTGACTAATCATTTAACCATTTGAAGCATAATCAGAATGATTCGCTTCTTGTTGTATCAATTACATATAAATTCAATCGGTGATGGGTTTTTTTTGTGTGTGATCTATTCTCTAATCTGCACCTGTATCTGTTGTCTATGTCTGCTTCAGGCTATCTGCCCTCTAACCATTAGCACTCCTCCATTAACCCGTCTAATCAGTCTTTTTTTCACCGTTATTTACTCCACGCTGCCCACCCAATGGACGTCATAGATGCTCGAGTGTGCGCGATGGCAGCACCCAGCGTCAGAGCCAGTACTCCACCAAGACAACAACGAGCAGCGTGGCCAATCTATCGCTGCAGGAGAAGCCCTCGGTGGAGAAGCCCTTGGTGATTAGCCAATCATCCAGTGTGGATCATCAGCGCACGACAAGCTTTCGCTGAGGATGGGATCCGATAGGATCGTCTAGTGGCAAGCATCATCGAATAGTTATATCTGGGGATACTTAACATCCAGAGCAGCAGCCATATATTCAGATTGTACTTTATGAAAAGACATTATTATAAGAGGCAGGAACCCAAAATCCCTCCCTCCCTCCCCATCAAACCACATCTCTCTCTCTCTCTATATATATATATATGTATATATATACTATATAAATGTCTGGCAGATCAAGAAACCAACAAACGAAGAAAAAGATCGCGAACAACCTGATAAATTTAAGTGTAAGAAAGAGCACGCTTCGAGGCGCCATATCTAGTATGTATTTATGTATCTGAAATGAAATTATTGTTGTCTCCAGAGATCACTGTACTTCTCCGCCTTCTCTAGCTGTAAGCACCACACACACACCACACATACATATAGTATATATCGATGTGCCGTGATGAAATTAAGATTTGTATCTGCATTTGTATTCATTCTTATTTGCGCATACCATACCATACTATACCACGCTCCATATCTCTGTAGTACAATGTACAATATAGTACGAGTATCTACGAGTTCCACTTATATTTGGTATAATAAAAACCTGAACACACGAATAAAGCCAAAGATAAAACTGAAAGAAAGATCTGCCCGCTAGTCGGGGGTTTTCACTTGGGCTTAGTTTTTGAATGCTCCTACAAAAACGAATGAACAAAAATATAACTAACTATTCACTGAAATTAGCGAACTGCTGATCGTTCATTTTTTGATGAATTTACTACACTATTATGAAATTTATTCGGTTCAGTAAAAATACTTTAATAACTAGCTCGCTAGCTCTATCTAGGACCCATCGAATTATGAGTTGTTACATGGCCACTACACAGAGATGTAATTATGAAAAGAGCCACCTGTCGAGGAAGCCAGGCCAGTAAAAAAAAAACAATCAATCGATCGGGAGTTCGATTGGGCGCTGATTTGGGAATGTTAATTATTATTAATGTGGAATTTCCCTACTGTAACGAAAAATATTATTTCCTTGGGCCATTTTGAGGCTATACAAATACATAAAAATTACTCCTAAAACTATTTAATTGTTTAATAAAATTTTTCTATATAAAAATGACTTATTTCATCTTTAATTCCTGTGCCAACGATCTTTTTACAACAAAAATAAAAGCTTTCCCCTTAGCCCAGACACCCACCCTAAGCCACCAACAGTGGTGGTTTTGTGGTTTCGTGGGTTGTTGTATTGGCCAAGAGAGTACCCGTCAAGAAAATGAAATTAATTTTGAATGAAAAGAGCCAGTCGCCCCGGTTGAGATTCGTTTCGCTGATCGCTCGATCGCTCGATCGCTTGGTCTTGGTCTTGGTAGGGGCAGTGGGGCGGGTACAGGGGTCGTCAGAGACTGGTCTGTACGGGTTTTGGGGCTTGCTAATCAGTTAGTCTGTCTTTTATTCTTGGCCAGCATGGAGCTGCTGCCTTGTCGCGCTTCTCGCTGTTGTCGTTGTCGTTGCCGGTTTGTCGCCTACTAAAAAGAGCGAAAGAGAGCGAAAGCGAGAGGAGAGAGAGAGAGCTGTCTGTCGTTGGTTGTTGTATGGTTGTTCTTTTTGGGGCTCGCGTGTTGTCGCAATCGCAGCCGTTTTTAGACCTACGCCGTCAACGTCGCGCGTTGCGTCGTCGTTTTGTCATTTTGGAATCCGATTGTTGTTGATTTTACTCGTGTATGTTTAGTTGTATTTTTTGGGTCTGGTTTGCGTGTGCCTTGCATAAAAGTCAGCACGAACAGAACAGAACTGCGATCGCCTCTCGCATATTATTTTTTTGTTTATTTAATTGTGACGTCAGATCCGCAACAGAACAATAAACCAAGAGGTGGTCTCGTCTCTGATTCGATGTCTATATCCCAGAGCCCCACACCCTTGGGGCTGGTGCTGGTGCTGCTGCTGTTGTGCCTTGCAGCGCAGCACTGCCACTCCGCGGAGATCGCCACCATGCCCACCATTACGCATCCGTGTGCGTATGCGGATACCGTAAACATCACGGACGGACTCCGACTGAAGGATGGCTCCTACTCCTACGCCGGAGTGGTGGTCCCGCCCAATCTCATGGCGGAGTACAGCTTCAAGGTGATCGATGGCGTCGAGTATCGTGCCCCCAAGCACCTGCGGGGCTGCGTCTGCCTCTTGAAGCCCTGCATTAGCTTCTGCTGTGCCCGCGGACTGGTGTTCGATGCCAAGGGCTGGAATTGCACGGCGCCCCATCAGGAGCGGCAGATCACACACGTGGAGCTGACCTACGGCAACCGGACGGTGGATCAAGTGCGAATCAACGATCGCTTTGTTGTGCGCACGGAGTTGGGGTGCCGCAACAAGTTCGTGGACAAGAAGCACGAGACCTTCTGGCAGTGGGACCTCTTCGAGAATGGATCTCTGCTGCGGGACAGTCGCCTGTGGAGCACGGACGAGTATTGCTTCAGTCCGCTGCAGCACAAGGCGGAGGAATGGGAGTTGACGCCCCTAAGCTGTGAGCGCTTCCAGACAGGCTATCGCGTGTGGATCTATGCGATATGTAAGCGATATGGGGGACATGGTCCCAGCGATCTTTTACCTGTTAGTAATTTGCCATCCTTTCAGGCAGCATCATTGCCATATTGATCAACATATTTATCCTGTCGCTGTTGGGTTCGGTGCGGGATGCCCGCAAGAGTCACTACGGACAGGTGATCATCTACTATCTGCTTGCCTTGATCGTGGGTTACGCGCTGCTCGTCTACTTGGCCCTCAAGAATCCCATGAAACTCTCCCACGCAGCTTGCAGGAATATTGGTTGGTATTATCCTTGGTCCTTAGTTAGATGCATCTTAATCCCTGTTCTCTCTTGCAGGTTTGCTGGCCTACTTCTGCATCATGCTGTCGTTTGTCTTTCTGGCCATTTGCAGCTTTGATTTCCTGCAAAAGTTCCGCCTGAAGCCCTGCAAGAATTGGCTTCGCAGGCTGTTCTATTTCCTGGCTGTGGTTCTGGTTGTTGGCCTACGGTTTCTGGTATCCTTTGCCCAGGACTCGAGCCTGCCCAAGCACTATAAGCCGGGCATTGGCGAGGACTATTGCTGGTTCGATGGTGAGTAAAAGGTCCCCGCACCTTCAATGCAGTATCACGTGTGATTCTCTGCTCTTCTTCCAGTGCGCCTTTGGGGCATTCTCATCTACTACTATGCACCCATTATCCTGCTGCTGACCTTCAGTGTTGTCTGCTGCCTCAAGGCCTACTTTTCCATCTACGAACTGCCAGCAGACACTCAATATATCCTGGGCACACAGCTGCGCATAGTCAAGACACAGTAAGCTAAAGATTCTCCAAAGACTGCCCATGGGAACTCTTCTGATTTTATATTTCTTTCGTTTCCTTGCAGTTTCTATGCATTTTGTGCCTATTTGGTGGGCGTCTCTGCCGTCTGGCTGCGCGAGATTGTCGTCTATATTATGGCGCGTGTGAGGGAGCATTTCTTCATCATTGACTTCTGGAGTGGCATTTGCATCTTGGGTCTGGCCATTGCCGGCTTCATTCTGCTGCTGGGCAAGAACATGCATGTGAAAACCTGGTGGGCCATCAATGTGTAAGCTGCGATCTCCATCGACTGCCAACAATCATCTATTATATCTGTAACACCTTTCTCCTTCCACAGGGAATCCAGTCAGACCGATTTGAGTGTCATTAATGCACGTGTCTACAATTTCAACGAAAAGGGAGATCTGAAATCTTCAGGTGCGCAAAACACAAACATCTCCCATCTGGCATTCATTTAACATCCCATCTCTCTTCCTTTTGTAGATTCTCCCTACCAGCCAACGGTGACATCATTATAGATGGGAGAGACTGAGAGATTGAATTCAAATAATTGCTCATCTGCGTATGAACTCTGGTATTCGCTAAGCTAATGATTCATTTGGGTGCCACACCACACAAACACACTCACAAATGTGTGAATATATCATATGTATACAGTACATTTCTAGGAAGTAATTGACTTAAGACTTTTGTTGAATAAACTCGAAATTCTGTAATATTTAGCTCCAATGTGCATCAAATGTGTAGAGATTTAATTGACTTATGGCTAAAGCAAATAATTAAAAATGTTTCTATTTAATAGTTCTAGAATTTTGAAAGTAGATATTTATGTGCATCTCTTCTACCATTCTTCCGTAAAAAAGTGAATCATCCTTCCCCGAGCCTCCTGCTACCTTTTTCTGCCTTCCTGCTACCATTTCCCTTTATAAACAACTTCATTTGGGGCGAGTTTCGTTATGGAACCCTTTTAAAAAACACAAATTGTATTAGCAACTCCACAAACAAAAGGACAAATCGTAAACTAAACCCCAAATGTCCTGTCCGCTCACACAACGGGCTGCTTTGACTCCTCGCTGACAAGGGAGGCAGCCCCGAAGGGTTGGCTCGCGATGGATTGTTGGTTGGTTGGATTAGCTGGCAGCCCAAGTGGCACGCAACAAATGTTACGTTAATGACGCAATTGAGAACGGTTATCCCTATTCCTATCCCTCCATCCCTCTGTCCATCTATCCGTATCTGTATCTGTCTCTCTATTCGTATCTGTATCTGTTTCTTTATCTATGTCTATGTCCATGTCTATTGAGTGCTAAGGCCTGCCTTCTTCTTCTCCGAATAGTTCTCCTCTCTCTACGCACTTGGAAGACTCTACTGGAAATTGAAGGGGATTTTCGAGACTTGGAAGAACTTTGGTTAGATTTGCAGGCAGAGTTCAAGGTAGAAGAGACTATAGTTTGAATAATCCTATATGTTGCATAGGTTGAAGTCTAACCAGATAAAATTGTTGATCGATTGTTTATCGATAGCCAGCTAGCATATTGTTTGAATTTCATAATTGGGAGAAAGTTGAATTCCCGCAAGGGCACAAATCAACATTTGTACATAATACGATATTACTTATATAAGTATGCCAGTTAGTAATACCATAGTATAGTGTTTTTGTATGGATTTAGCAGTAACATGGACGGAATATTATATAAAGCTACATGTATATATCATATATATATTGTATAGTTTATTAAAAAATCAAAAAATACAATTTATATGTGTGCTTTAATTGGAGTGGGCGGGAGGCCAAGAATATTCGTTCAGGACAGATCAGGCTGCAAAATGAATAGACTTGAAAATTCCTTGAAAAGGAATCTAAGAAATTATGGATATTTTCCCGATCATGGGTAGGCGTCACTCGCCCTGATCGGACGAGAAACAGCGGAGTTATAGCGATTTAAAGGCAATATCCTTATTGTCCTTGAAGCGAAACGATGGTCGACATCCTGCCGATTATGAGGATACCTATCACATCCATATCGGATGAAAAATGACAGAGAAAAGTAAGTATTTAAGACTGGGGGAAATATCCTTGATCCTTGGTCCTTTATAATGACTCCACAAAATCGAGGATTTTCTTCCGATCACGAGGACACGTACGCGTAGGACACGAATGAAAAATGACAGAGAAAAGTAAGTATTTAAGACTGGGGGAAATATCCTTGATCCTTGGCCCTTGGTCCTTTATAAGGACTCAAAAAAATCGAGGACTTTCTTCCGATCACGAGGACACGTACGCGTAGGACACGAATGAAAAATGACAGAGAAAAGTAAGTATTTAAGACTGAGGGAAATATCCTTGATCCTTGGTTCTTGGTCCTTTATAAGGACTCAAAAAATGAGGACTTCTTCCGATCACGAGGACACGTACGCGTAGGACACGAATGAAAAATGACAGAGAAAAGTAAGTATTTAAGACTGGGGGAAATATCCTTGATCCTTGGTCCTTTATTAGGACTCAAAAAAATCGAGGACTTTCTTCCGATCACGAGGACACGTACGCGTAGGACACGAATGAAAAATGACAGAGAAAAGTAAGTATTTAAGACTGGGGGAAATATCCTTGATCCTTGGTCCTTGGTCCTTTATAAGGACTCAAAAAAATCGAGGACTTTCTTCCGATCACGAGGACACGTACGCGTAGGACACGAATGAAAAATGACAGAGAAAAGTAAGTATTTAAGACTGGGGGAAATATCCTTGATCCTTGGTCCTTTATTAGGACTCAAAAAAATCGAGGATTTTCTTCCGATCACGAGGACACGAACGCGTAGGACACGAATGAAAAATGACAGAGAAAAGTAAGTATTTCAGATCCTTGGTCCTTTATAAGGACTCCACAAAATCGAGGATTTTCTTCCGATCACGAGGACACGTACCACGTCCTGATCGGTCGATAAATAACGGAGTTATGCTTTCGGCCATTTGAGCCTTTGCACCGTGGCGCCCCCATGATCACCTACGGCCACTGATGGAACTACAATACTTTAGTTCCAGCAGTGGCCGTCGATGATGGTGGGGGCGCCACTGTGCAAATTAAATTTTGTTGTTGCACAGTGGCGCCATCGACAAAAATTTTGCTTGCACAGTGGCGCCCCCAGTTGTCATCGGCTTTTGCTGGAACTACAATACTTTAGTTCCATCAGTGGCCGTAGGTGATCATGGGGGCGCTACGGTGCAAAGGCTCAAATGGCCTAAAGCATAACTCCGTTATTTATCGACCGATCAGGACGTGGTACGTGTCCTCGTGATCGGAAGAAAATCCTCGATTTTGTGGAGTCCTTATAAAGGACCAAGGATCAAGGATATTTCCCCCAGTCTTAAATACTTACTTTTCTCTGTCATGTATCAATCGTGTCCTACGCGTACGTGTCCTCGTGATCGGAAGAAAGTCCTCGATTTTTTTGAGTCCTTTTAAGGACCAAGGATCAAGGATATTTCCCCCAGTCTTAAATACTTACTTTTCTCTGTCATTTTTCATTCGTGTCCTACGCGTACGTGTCCTCGTGATCGGAAGAAAATCCTCGATTTTGTGGAGTCCTTATATAGGACCAAGGATCAAGGATATTTCCCCCAGTCTTAAATACTTACTTTTCTCTGTCATTTTTCATTCGTGTCCTACGCGTACGTGTCCTCGTGATCGGAAGAAAATCCTCGATTTTGTGGAGTCCTTATAAAGGACCAAGGATCAAGGATCAAGGATATTTTCCCCAGTCTTAAATACTTACTTTTCTCTGTCATTTTTCATTCGTGTCCTACGCGTACGTGTCCTCGTGATCGGAAGAAAGTCCTCGATTTTGTGGAGTCCTTATAAAGGACCAAGGATCAATGACTGGGGGCGCCACTGTGCAAATTAAAACTTTGTTGTTGCACAGTGGCGCCCCACTATGACCGACTGCCACGGATGGAACTAAAGTATGGTAGTTCGAGAAATCACCGTTCATTAATGGGGGCGCCACTGTGCAGCGACGTAGAAATCTGGAACTACAATTCTTTTATTATTCAGCATTATTTAAAATGCGTATAACTCGGCCATTTCCAGTCCGATCTGGGCGTGCCACGCCTTCTCGTGATCGGGAGAAAGTGCCCCACCGTTTTACTTCAAGGACAATAAGAATATTGTCCTGGAATCGTTATAAATCCTTTATTCCTTCGCCATTTTTCGTTTGATCAGGGCGGGCCACGCCTCCATTGGATCGGGGGAAAACTTTAGCCGATGGACAGTTTGGATCCTAAAAATCCTGGTAAAGTTGGTCCTTCGAGGATTTTCCCCCTTTTGGCCGAGATATAGCGTAAGGAAGAAAAAACCCGTATTTTTGTTGTGAGGCTATATGTCGACTATTTGTCGACCGATTTGCGCGGGTAACACCTTTTCGTGATCTGGAGAATCTCCCCGATCGTTTGCAATCAGTTTCGCATCAAGGAAATCAAGGATTAAGGATTCAATATGTATAACTCGGCCATTTTTCAAGAGATCCAGAGGTGACGCATGTCCACGTGAGCGGAAGGGTCTCCTGTATCATTTGAACCATCAAGGAATCCTTCAGGGCTACAAGGACACGCCTTTTACACGCTATTTTGTAATATATTGGCCAAAAAGACCAGCCTGAAGCCCAGTGATAATAATTCAGCCACAATGTTTTTTAATATTTAATATTTATTTCAGTTTTGTTTTAATTTTCTTACAATAATTAGCAGTTGCTTTCGCTGTATTTGCTTACGTCGATCATAATACATCTTATCCATATCCTTGCTGTACGATAGTATTGGTGTCTGTGTGTATGTGTGCTGGTGTTGAGTCTGTTTGGGTCTGTCTGTGTTCAACATTGGTAAGGGGTTCGCATTGACTTTAATGTTTGCTTGTTTGTTCGTTTGTTAATTATCGTATATATAACTTTTACTTAACAGCATAAATATGTATGTTCGCGTTCAACATTTACTGGATCTGATCTGCAGTCATGATTTTGGATTGTTAATTATGTATTTATTTATGTATGTTAGTTATCAACTATAGTTAGCAGCTAACATGCTGCTTCATTTATGTTATTATGTAAATTTATATTAGGGTTTATAAAACAATTTGTTCATAAAAAACGAATTACAAATACGCATACATATTCAGTTCTTTCGTTTCGTTTCGTTTCATTTAAATTACATACAAGCTAAGCCTTCAAATGAGTTGTCGAAATCAATTATTTTCAATATTCATAGGGAAAGGAAATTGATAAATGCAGAAACAGAAACCAAGGGAAAAATTCAGTGACGAAAATTGACAATTGCATAGTCAAGGTGCAGCTCGATAAAGAAGCCTCTAAATATCTCTCGTTTGCTATAATATTTACATATGTACATACTCGTACTATTATTAGTTAATATTCGATTTTGGTTCACATTAGGTAACAGTGCGAATTTCGTTTAGTCGAGTCATACATCAATCTTTACATTCATTATTTGCTTAGTAAATTTATCCTAGACATTCCTTAACTGGAATGCATCCTTCAGACATGGACATATTCCATATGCACATATTCCAGATATACTCGAATGCTCCAATGTATTTTGTAGCATATTGAAAATGCATCCTAATTTTTATAGTTTGCCGCTTGCTGCGGCTGCTGCATTTTATAGTATTTTTCCATGTCATTAATTTATAATGGTTTTAATTGCTTAAAG